GCTCCCTTGGACAGTGTGTTCTTTCCAAACTGGACTTTGCTGACCATTGGACCATGCCTATGCTCATGGTCTTCCCTGGCCCCCAAATGGCCTTGTCCAATCATCTATAATGGTCCTTATTTCTTTTTGACTGAGTTGAATTGAAATACTTCATTCATCGATGAAGGTGAAATGAAACTCACAATAGGGAAGAATTGATACCTAGTAGTTGATAATATTATCAGTTTATGGAGTATTTAAGACTCCTTATCACTTCTTACCAAGAAAATATGAAATGCCATAACTTCTTAGAGCTCATACACAAGGCAAAATGGATAGTGATTTTTTTCCCCCAATTTAACAATATTCCAACAATATAAATGATATAATAACCAACAACTTGTGAAGCCAAAGGGACCTTTTTTATACAACAGCAATAATAATAATAATAATGATAATAAAATAATAATAATAATAATAATAATAATTTTAGCCTTATTTGTTTAGTACTGAGCATTGAACCCTGCGTCCTCATATATGCTAGGGAAGTGTTCTACCACTGAATTAAATCCCCAGTCCCTAAAAAACCCATTTTGATTAATCAGAGGAAAAATTGTTTCATCTCTCTGTTCTGTGTAGAAATAGCTTAAATGTTGGTATCAGAAGAGGTAATAAACAGCAAAATAAATGAAAGAATCAATTTTATAGAGGTGAGCCAGGGACTCACCTCCAGGAAATACCGTGTCTTACGTCAGGCAGGTTTGTACAGGGACCACTGTTTAACTTCAGGTCTTTGTAAAGACTGCGGCTCTAGCCTTGAAGCCAAAGATCTGATCTCTCCCTAGCCTTTTCCTGGACTTCAGGTGCAGAGTGTTCCCTGAACAGAATTGGTGAGGCTGAAATCCTTCTTGGGAACACAACCCAAGAGGTTTGGGGTTCACTGCTCTCCTGCCCTAAGAACTAATTTTACTGCCAGGTACCATGCTTCTGACCTTCTGATGTCCATGGTCAGACAAGGAGAACAGAATGAAGCCTGCAAACATGTTTACAGGTTTTTCTTCTTAAATTTTAATTTTTGTATTTGTTCTTTTTAGATACACATGACAGTAGAGTGTATTTTGACATCTTACACGTACATGGAGTATGACTTATTCTAATTATGTTTATAGTTGTTTGTTTCACTGTCGTGTATAATCATCACAGTTGGAGATGCCCAATCATAAAGTATTAGTTAAATGCATTTTTGTTAAGTCTATTCAACTAGATTTCATGAAGCTTTTAAAAGGTTTCAGTAATTTTATGTATGGTGGTAGAAAAGTTGTTCATGATGTATTATGCAAAAGAGGCAGGTTGCAGAGAAGTATCTATAGTAGGATTTATTTATAGGAAAAAGTTAATTGTTTATAAAAAGTCTCAAAGCTGGTAATCGATGGTGATCTTTAAGAAATAAATTAATATGGAAGGATACTGCCTTATTATAAATATGTGTGTGTATGTACATATATCCTGTTGTTGAATACATAACAGTTATTTATTTTAACAATCCCGTGGAGTATCCAAACCACCACGGACTTATAAAAAATAATCTAGGTTATATTTAGATCTCCTTTTATGTCTGTTATACTTCACATGGTTAGGTTTATAAGCTATTATAAGAAGGACCAACATAGATAATAGAAAAAAAGCAATTCTAGGGCCACTGTTAAACTCAAAGCCAGAGCATATTCAAGAACCAAATGGTGTATAAATTATCATATTTAGGGCCACCCAAGTGCAGTTGGAGCAGGGGGACAGCAAACATGAATTGAAGTGCTCTGCTGGGTCTTTTACTTATTATAGTTTATTTAATACTGACAATAAAGCTATGAGGAAAATCTTTTGTTTCACAGATGAGAAAATTGAAGCTGGGAGAATTTATTTGGCCAAGGTTATAAAGAAAGAATTCCTGAGAATTCCTGTGTGTGTATGTGTCTCTTTGGAACAGAAGAAAATAAAACACAGAAGTATTATTTGTAAGTTTTCTTTCCCAACTCCACTCTTCCGAAAGTACATGTTGCTCCATCTCTTTTAATCAAGTAGACATTTCTGTGTCCTTCATAGAAAGGACACTTTCCTCATGTTGAAAAACAAATTATTATTCTCTGCATTCCTCCAGTTTTTAGCTTCAATGGATATCATCTTCTACATATCAAGAGCATCATTAACATCAAAACATTTCTAAATCTATAATAATATTTCAAAATTGATTAGGCAAGGACATGCCCGCATAGACATACTGTCAGATATACAGACACACTCCCCCAAACTCTAACTTAACATAAAGATCTTGTTTAAAGCCCCAAACTCTAATTTCTATCAAGAAGCAGAGTTGGCCATCTGATTCGTCAACTGACCTTTGGAGCCAATGCTTACGGAGGGCTGTTCTCCTTTAAGGCAGACATGCATCTGAGGCTTGGATGGTTCAGTATCTCCTCTCCTGCAGGCTCCAGGAATCATCTTTGCCTGGTTCTAAAACACTGCCCCTCAGTGCCCCTGCCACGAGTACCAGTCCCTCCCTCAGTCTCATACCCAATAGAAGAATTACCAAGGGGAATATTTTTGGATGTGTTTGTTGAAGTTTCATGGCCAGAGTTTCCTATTGGGATGAAGCTCTGCTGGGAATTATTAAGAAGTCAAACGTGCCCTGGAAGATGTGTGCAAAATATACTTTGAAGGGAGGAGATAGATCCTTATAGGCCCTGTGATTAGAGCCCAGATTATCTTTGCTTGCTGGGCTCATAGGGGACAGACAAGTCTGTCTCTTTAAGCTGCAGGAGCTCAGGGAAAATGAATAGAACTCCCTACACAGTTTTTTTCTTAGGAAAATGGTTTGCTTGTTGACCTATTAAAGTACATAATCAGAAGCATCATAAAGACTGGGAAACACATTTTCTCTCTGCTTTCCACCACATTTCTCACATGCAGAGGAGAAACGTGCAGACAAAAAATGAGAACGTATTGGCTTTGTTCAGTCACCAAATATTTAGTCATGAAGTATTAATTGAGCACTACCATTCCAGACTCTATGATTCCATAGATCCTAGGAGTGGAGAAGTTCATTTTTGCCTCTCAAAAATCTCTAAGACTCAGCTCACTGACAATGTCATTTTTGAAGCCTTATCTCTCACCATAGATCTATAGAGAGTCCCACTTATATTACACATCACCAACTTAAAATGGCTAAAATTGATCTGATCATCATTACCAAGCACCAAACACAGCTTTTCTGTAGCTGCCACTATTATTCTTGTCAAGATTCAATGTCTCTGAATTGACTAACATGCCTCCTCCCCCTCCCCCCCCCTTTTTTTTTGTCTTCTGTAACTCTTCCTGAATAATTTACTTTTAAGCTTCGTTCATATTTGCAATGATTATTTTTGGAATGATCTTTTCATCTTTTTCTTCTAGAACTTTTCAGTCCTTGCCCCGTATTCACACCCCTGTGCAATTCCCTCCCCTTGTGTGTGGGTTGGACCTGGGGAATCACGTCTAGTGAACAGAATACAGCAACAGTGATGGTTGTGACTTTGACCTTGCTGACATTTTCTCTTTTTCCTCTTGCTTGCCTGCTCTGGTGAAGTAAGCAGCCATGCTGGAGAGACCCACATGGCAAGACACTGTTGGTCTCCAGCCAACAGCCATTAAGGAACCGAAATCCTCAGTCCAAAAGCTTATGTCATCACATGGCCAATAATCACATGCATGAACAGGGAAAAGAATTTTTCCAAGCTTAAGATAAGGTTGCAACTTTCCGCTGACACCTGAATGACAGTCTTGTGAGAGATCCTGAAGTAGACAACCCAGCTAAGCCATGCATGATGGACAGAAACTTTGAAAAATATGCATTTTAAAAAACCACTTAGTTTGGGGGTAATACACTATGCAGCAATAGATTATTACTCCAGTACTGAGATAATAGTCTATTTTACTGGATAGAAGCTGTGTTGACAGCATTTTCTTTCAGACTTGAAAGATAAGTAATGCAGCGACAACAACGATACTAGGTGGATCCCTCCAGGGTAGTGTTTTGTGACTGTAATATCATGGATGCTTAAATATGGTTACTGGGCTGCTGACCATGCTAAAGAAACTGAGCTAAAGCAACTTGAATCTCCAAATTCTTCAGAAGTTTAGAATGGTAGGACCACCCATAAACCCAGCCAGTTTGCATATCAAGATCAATTTATTTGCTTATAAAAAATACTGTGGAAATTTGAAATCATATACATATGCATATTAAAATCATATTAATCATATATATATAATTAAGCTAGAATCAGTTTAATATCATTTTAATGGTTCTCTAAGAAAAATGCTTCTACCTGAAGAAAACTATAGATGAATGTAAATAATTACCTGATTTTATGTTGAAAGAGAAGTGAATCTGATGGTGCTCTCCTGAATTCACCTGCCTTCCTTCACTGTGTCTGATGTAGTTGTTTTGCATGTATCTCTATGAAGAGCAGCACGGGCAACTTTTGCTGGGTTGCCACCATTATTGGGGGTCCTACCCTTGGGAACACACACTCTGATTGTGCAGGTCTTTGGCCACTTAAAATTCTGCTCACTCCTAGAGATCTTGCTTGAGCTAAAATCTACAGGGAGGTAGAAAAAGGGAATCATTGCAGAAAGTATAGAGGGTGTGGGGAACCAGCAGGAGTGGATCCATGCTGTGCACAGTGATTTGGGGTCTGCAGATGGATCCCACTGAACACAAATGTATGTATTTATTAGATTTTAATGCTCGGGGCAGTATGTCTAGCAATGGAAAATTCTTTAGAACATTTTTGAGAGATGGAAATAAAATTGATATAGCAAAGTTCAACCAACAAAGAAGACACTCATTTTCTTTCTTTTTTTTTGCATGAATAATAGAATTGGTCCTTTGATTTTTGGCATGATAGTGATTTCTTCCCTTCTGAGGAGGTGAAATTTAATGTCTGTCTTTAAATTTGCTCCTCTCTCATTCATCCCCATTGGACTTAAGTCCTTTCTGAAGACCTTAGTTGTTTCTTTAGTCTCCTCATGGCTGACTTCATCTCCTGGTTCCTCAGGGTGTAGATCAAGGGGTTCAGCAGAGGGGAGATGACAGTGAAGGTGACAGAGATGGCCGTGTCTGTGGGGAGGGCGGTGAAGGGCCGGGCATAGACATAGATGCAGGGCACAAAGTGCAGGGTCACCACAGTGATGTGGGAGGTGCAGGTGGAGATGGCTTTCTTCCTGCCCTCTCCAACATGAGACCTGAGCATCATCAGGATGACTGTGTAAGATATGAGAAGAAAGAAGAATATGAACCAGCTGACTAATCCATTGTTAGAAATCATCAGGAGCTCCAGAGTGGAGGTGTCAGTACAGGCAAGTTTGAGGACCTGGGGGACGTCGCAATAGAAAGTGTTAAGGACATTGGGTCCACAGAAGGGGAGTGGGAGCAAGAGGGAGATCTGCACGATGGAGTGGACGAAGCCCCCCACCCAGGAGGCCACGATGAGGGCAGTGCATCTCCCCCTACTCATGATGGTCACGTAGTGCAGGGGCTTGGAGATGGCTATGTAGCGATCAAACGCCATGACAGAGAGGGAGAACACATCGGCTCCCCCTAGAAGGTGGAAGAAGAACATCTGGGTGACACAGCCACTGAAGGAGATGGTCTTTCTCTCTGACAGAAGATCTATCAGAGCCTTAGGAGCTGTGATGGAGGAAAAGCAGATGTCAAGAACAGAGAGGTTGCGGAGCAGGAAGTACATGGGGGTGTGAAGATGAGATTCCCAGGTGACTGTAACCATGATGAGGAGATTGCCCATCAGAGTAGTCGTGTACACCAGAAGCAAGAAGAAGAATAAGACCCAGCTCAGCTCTCTGGACTGAGTAATTCCCAGAAAGATAAGTTCTTTCACTCTTGTGTCATTTCCTGAATCCATTGCCTCACAGATACTTTTTCAAGTTCATCTCTGGAAGAAATAACAGTAGAGTTATTAAAATATGGTCTGAAGTCTAGTGTCATCTTTTAGATTTGGGGGGAATATTTTTTCTACTTATGCACTGGGTCTACTATTCAGAATGTTGCCATTAGTTGAACAATTACCCAGGATTTTGACTCAGTTTTCTAAGCGGACAGATCTATCACTGAAGTCACTAAAGATTTTACTACAAAATCTGACACCTAAAATAATAAAAAGCAAGCATAAATTTGACCACTTTAACAATTTCTGTTCAGAAGCCATCATTAAGACAGTTAAAAGGTTTCCTGAAAAAAAGGAGAAGACATTTACATTAAACAATAAAACAGTCATGTTCAGAATATGTAAAGAGTTGCAAATCAGTTAAAAAAAACCCCCAGATGACCCAACCCAAAATAGCAAAAGGTAGGAATCAACATTTTGCAAAACAGGATATCTAAATTCCAATTCCACTTTTCTTGTTAGCATGGAAATGCAAATTAAAATGACAGGAATCAAGTGCTATATACACATTAGAAAGGCTAAATTGGGAAAGATGAAAAACCCCCCGAAGTGATGGTGAGGGATGGAACAGTTGCAAGTCTTGCACATGGATGGTGGGTGTGTCAAACTGGCACAACCACTTTGCTGCTTGTGTTTTCTGATAAAACTGTATATGTAATTAGATATAAATGCACATTTCCTAAGGGTCTATTTCTGCATCTGAATCTCTCCTAAGGATATTTCTTCTCCTAAGGAATATGTACACATGTCTACCAAGAGACAGATCCTAGAGTTTTCATAGCACCACTGTTCCTAACTCCCTCAAACTAGGAAAGGACCTAAAAAACTCACTAACAGTAGAAAATATAAATCGTGTCACAGTCACAACAGACTATGCAGCAGTTAGAGTGACTCATGCTATATGTAAGAATATAAGTGAGTCTCATAAACACCATGTTGTGCTGGATAACCCACACTCTAAAGGGAACATACTCTCACTTTGCTCACATGGGCAGAATTGAAGGGAGCCCGAGGAGGCTTCTGTGGTGCTGATGAGGTTCTGGGGCTTGTTACAAAGGTGTATTCAGCTTGTGTAAAAATTCATTGTTCTCTACGCTCACAGGCATTTTTCTGTATGTCAGTATATTTCAGGATGAAGTTACAACTTTGTAAATATGTGGTCATTCCTTCACAACATTTTAGTATCATGTCTAAAGAGTCAATTTCATGTACAGCAAAATGGAATGGGCCACCCAATTTCATAACAGCTGCTTTCATGGTTACACAGTTACAGTCTTCACCAGCTACAGTCTGACAGTCACCCTTGTATTTTCTATTCACTTCCTTTAGGTCCTCCCAAACTCTCAGTAGTTGACCTGCTGTCCACATGTAGTTCTTTTTATGATTCTGATTTTAATTCCTCTATTCCTTTACATTTTGCTCCTCTTCTTCTTTCTTTGTGGTATTGGAGATGGAAACCAGGGCTTCACATGTGCTAAGCAAATGCTCTACCACTGAGCGACACCCCCTTGCTCTTCTAATCATCTAGGGTGGTTTACCAACGAGCCACATCCACAGCGCTTTTTATTTTATTTTGAGACAGGGTCTCACTAAGTCGCTGAGGCTAGCTTTGAACTTGCAATCTTCCTAACTCCACTCTGCTAGGATTATAGGCGTGCACTGATAAGGGGGAAAAAGGTCCTGAAAATACTATATTTCCCCAAGCAGCACCTTCCTTGTCACTGACACAAATCAGAGCCCCCTTTTCTCATTGCATTGGCATTAGTTCAGATTTGTCTCAGTCTCCCCACCATGAGTGTCAATGTCAACAACAACAGTGGCAAGAATGATGGTTCTAAATAACCATCCTAGGAGATTTCAGTTTTACAGGATCTTTGAAGGAAGAGTTGCCCACACTGTACTTACCACAGCTGGGAAGTGGAGGAAACACCCAAGAGGAAGCTTGGTTTATCTGGAGTGTCCAGATCCCTTTTCATTAAGGACAGCAGCTCACTCTAGAATCTTTCTTTCCATTTGCAAATCTGCTCAGAAGGCACAGTAGCAAGTCCAAGAGCTTCCTGTATTGCATGCCTTCTCCCTCTCTCCAGCTCTTCTTTTACCTATTATCTTTTCTTCTCCCCCTCTTTCTCTATTCATCATTTCCATGACATTAAACTGTTTTTTTTTTCCCAAAGAAAGGGAACTCAAATAGAGGTCCTTCCTTAAGAACTTAAGACAGTAAGAATGTTGCAGCTTGTGGAACTGGCAGAAAACAAGGTGGGGCTGTACAAATGATGGTGATATAGACAAAGACAGTTCTCTTATTTGAGTCTATGCTATTTGTAAACCCCATGTTATCCAGAAACTCTGCTGAGCAATATCATGGCCCTCATATGCATTTTGGACACATACATGTAGATCATTGGGAACGTTTATGCCTTTAGGTATTACCACCTCCTATCTGGTGTGACCATGGAGAATTTATTCCATGAGCTTGTACCAAACTCATGAGTTCACAAGACATAGCTTAGAGTCCTCTTGAACATTCAGTATTATAATTTATCTGCAACATAATAATAAAAGACCTTCCTCATACACAGTGTGCTTCTAAGGAGGAGGTGAGTCACCCATGCCCCAGGTGAGTGAGTCTTTCCTCACATAGGCCAGGTCCATCTACAGGGGCTCATCTTGCTATTGACCCTGTGGTTCCCAATACTTCAGGGTAAGGAGAAAGTTCCATCTCTTTTCTTGAAATAATTTTCTGTTTTGCTCAGGGACTTGGACTAAGACATGTATCAAAAGAAAATCAGAGTTTTTGTACTCATACGTCTACTTATAAATGTGACTTAAAAAATTTATTTTGGGGGGCTGTGGCTCAGCTGTAGCATACTTGCCTAGCATGTGTGAGGCACTGGGTTCGATGCTCAGCACTACATAAAATAAAATAAAATAAAAGTCTATCAACAGCTGGAAAATAAAAATTAAAAAAATTATTTTTGTATGCAGTTATAAGTGTAGATATTTATAAATTTTTACAGAAAGAAAATATACCATTATCCTCAATAAGAAATGCTGTCATTTGGAGATTAAGTTCTAGAAGGTTCATGCAATTTTCAAACATCATAGACCTGTAGGCAGAATAAAGGAATTCAACTTTGCAAAATTTTTGCTTGCTTTTAGCAAACACTTATAGAGTGATTCTTGTGTGCTGAGCCCATTGCATCATTTTTTTGGTCATTCTAAATCTATAATATCTATATGAAATAGATTTTATTATCCCAGTATTATAGATGAGGAAACTGAGGCACAGAAAGAGAAAAAGTAACTTAATCAAGATCTTACAGTTGGAAGAATTTTATTTCAAGCCAATATTTGTCTTATTTCAAAAACTAATGTTCTTCTGCAAGTATCCTTCTTTCCAGTGATCAACCATTCCCAGAAAATGCTGTAAAAAAAGAAGCTCAGGAAAATCCTTTGCAAATCAAATTAAAGTAATATTTTGTGTGAGATGGTGGTGTTAGAAGGTGGCAGGTGGTGTGTGAGAGGAATGGCTGACAGTGACTTAGCCTGAGAGGATGTCAAAGTGACTTTATATGCTGAAGTGCTTGAATAAAAGCAGACTCTGGAAAATCAGACTTTGCAGTTTGCAGAGACCTTTATAAATAACCTGCAGCAAATACATAATATTCTAAAGGAAAGGCACAGATATGAAGTCTGAGTAATATCTCCTCATATGTGGATTCCTTTGCAAATAATGGATTTGGTGGGTTTCTTTGAATGGTGTCTTTTTGCAGAGGATTCTTTGAAAGTATATGATTATGCACGTTGCATTAAAACACAAGCACAATAGAAAGAGGGGCAAGGCAATGGATTAAGAAATACAATTTTAAGTGTCTTGCAAGGTCAAAATAAAGATCATGAGAATTTCTTAAAAATCACCGCATAGGAGACCACACTTTGAAAACAAGCTTATTTTGGACAGAATCTGAAGACTAAGTAAGTGTTCCCCCTCGGCCCCAGGATTCCACAGAACAAGCCTGCATCATTGTCTAGGGTGCCCCTAGACAATTGTGGCTTTCACTTTTTCAAATTTGAAAGTCCCCTACTCTTGATGGAATCCCTAAAAGTTTTAAAATCATTATTCATAATCAGTGGGCATGTGAAGGCACAGATAAACTTGTCATTAAAACATCTTAAAGCCCCAAACTTCCTTTCCCAGGCAAAAAGCCCAGGTGGTCATACTGTATAGACTGAGCTCAGGAACCACCATCCTAAATTCTGTTTTACCAAAGAATCACCCTCCCGACAGAGCTGAGCACTTTCTCAGTTACCCTCAAAACACTTCAAACCTTAATATCCTGCCCAGTAAGACCACTGACCTTCTCGCTGTTTTGCAAGCTACACTTTTCTTCTTCCCACTACTGAAAAACAACTGCTTTTCTTTGCTTCCTTAAAAGCCTTGGTTTTGACAGGAGTATTCTACACACGCAGCATTGCTGAAAAAATCAACACTAGCAATTTCTCAGTTTCAGAACTTCAAACACACCAACACTAGCTGTTGGCTTAATCTCCAAGTGGGAAATCGATCGGCTTATAATGCTTGCACTGCATCTTAGAAGTGCGTACCAGGGGAATTCTGGGTTTAATGTAAAGCCTACCTCAAGGCCAGTGGTTTTGTTATCTTCTTCCTTCAGATGGGAAAAAGCAACCGCAGGGAATCACTGTTCTCACTCTTCTGTTCTGCTTTACAGTGCCTCGGACACTGTATTAGTCCCTTAGCCACAGCCCGATATAGGAATTAGCAAAGGGAATACGGTTGGGGATGAATGTGGAGGCTGAGTGGCCAATATGGTGGAGTTCCTGGGGGAGTCATTAAAATGTCACCAAGGTCTCTCTTTCCCTCTCATCTTTCTCTCTCTCTTCCTCTCCCTTCCCTGCTCCCCCTCACTCACCTCCTCTCTGTCCCTTCTCTCCCATCCATGCAAGAGGGACATGAATACATGCACATTCAGGGCACATCCTTTCCCCTAGAGGAAGCACAAAGTGCATTTCTTCTTTGACTCAGGAAGAAAGTGTTGTATTAAATGACACCGAGGACTGTGCTGTCTTCCCCTTTACCAAAGTCACTTTAAAGGCCTGAAATCAGTTGGGAAATAAAGCCTGAATAAAAGGGTAGTCGTGGAAAAATGAAAGCTCTGTGGTTACTGTTAGGGCAGCTCTCAGAGGCTGGACTAAGTTTCGTTTTAAAGCAACATTTACACTGCTCTTATGCAATTATTTTCATTTACATCTCTGATAACTACAATTTATTCAGAATCTAGGGAGGGAGCATGGTGATAACTCTCAATATTCATCAATTCCTGACTTCATAAATAACTTGTTATTTTTTCATGAGTATTCAGAGATATTTATCATTAAAACAATTGACTCAGGGACATATATATGTACAAAGGATTGTTTGAAAGTCGTGTGCGCATAGATTCACTTGAGTATTCTATGGTGCTTAGCAGCGGAGCTTAAAGAATAACCCAAACGTACCTGATTTCATTATGCATACATGTATACAAACACCCATGTTGTACACTATTAATATGTATGATTTTTATTTATCAATTACACCTTAATAGAGCTGGTTAAAAAAAAAAAAAGAAAAAAACAACCCTGGGCAGAGCGCTCACCTAGCACCTGAGAGGCCCTGAGTTCGATCCTCAGCACCACATAAAAATAAAACAAATAAAGATATTGTGTCCAACTATAACTAAAAAGTAAATATTAAAAAAAAACAAACCCTGTGGCTCAAGTGGTAGCGCGCTCACCTGGCATGCGTGCGGCCCAGGTTCGATCCTCAGCACCACATACCAACAAAGATGTTGTGTCCGCCAATAACTAAAAAATAAATAATAAAAATTCTCTCTCTCTCTAAAAAAAAAAACAAAAAACAAAAAACACCTGATTTAAATTGGAGAAAATGCAGCCTAACTAGTGATTTTATGTTATCCAGAAAATGCTTGTGTGATCAGATGCAATTGCTTTCCCCTTCATGTGTGTGTTTGGACATGGTTTGAGGAGGTCATCAGGGACAATGACATGACAAGAGTTCCAGAGTACTTTTCCCTCCTAGAATTACACTTTGGAGATACAGTGACTCAGACTTTATACATCTTTGGTGTCATCACATTCTATCACAGAGATCAAAAACACGATTGGAGTGAATCACAAGAGATTGGAAAGAAAGAACACATTTGCATGAAATGGGCTATTAAGTGATTCTTGGTGCTCATTTCTTATAGGCAGTTTCATAAAGAAAAACCTAGAGTCTTGAAACCAGAGCTACTAGGGTCAGGGCACCATGAATCTATGAATAATGAGGTGGCAAATGTGAATCATTCTTAGAATTTCTATGTGGGGGAGGTAAGTTGATATTGTAAAAATTAGAGTGGATCGGGGGCAGGAAGTGGCAAACATTTGAGATAGTTGTTTGGAGGCATCGTGAATGCTTCTGGGGCCAGGCCAGGGCCAACGAGGGACACAAATGAAGTTGTCCTCCACATGCTATGATTTGCTTTCTTTTCTCCATCCTACTGGTCCTGTCTTCTGGATTTATATTTGATCCATTGTCTCCTTTTCATCTGAAACTGACCTGTGCTGTATCTCTCAGCTTGTATCAGCTTCAGGGTGGCTCTGAACCTTAATAAAATAACAAGGAAACTGATTGTCATGCTTTAATGCTAGGAAGCAAGCATTTTTAAAAAATGGTTTAAGTTTTAGATGGACAAAATACCTGTATTTTATTTATTTATTTATTTTTATGTGGTGCTGAGGATCGAACCTAGTGCCTCACACACACTAGGCAAGCACTCTACCCCACTGAGCCACAACCCCAGCCCAGAAAGCAAGAAATTTTAAGATGATAGATGTTTTGAATTCATTGTATATGCCCGTGTTTTCTACTCCCTCACTTTTTAAAAAGTAATGAGTGCGGGCCAGATAGGAGAAGATTAACAGGACAAGAGGGGACAGAAACCTTATTAGGCAAAGCAGAAGGGCGATATTAACAGTGACATTTGTCTTTCACTAAGCATTTACTATCTTCCAGATAGCTCATGTTTTATACACACTACGTCATTTTAACTTAACCACTCCATGAGATGGATAGTTTATTTGCTCTAGATCACCAGCTGATGGGAGGCAGACAGAGATTTGCATCCAGATCTGAAGGTGAAGCTTTCAGCTGCCAGGCTTTGCTACTTTCAGTAGCAAATAACACTCGCCTATAAAGGGACACCAACAGTTTGAAAAATAGACTGGTCAGAGTATTATCTTCTACTTTTTCTCCAGTGGGAGGAAATATGAATGGTGAAGCTGAACCTTAATAAGGCTGCAAATCAGTCCTTGGATAGTAGAGATGGACTGCATCATGGGTGGGACCTTTGAGGTTTCTGCCTTTGTTTAATCTCATCTCAAGAATGTGGATCTGGCACGTCTCTTCTGTGTTGAAACAAATCTCTTTATGCCATTCTGATAAATCTTCCCAAGCTGCTTCATTCTTGATGGGAATCCAGGAAGGCAACCATTATGTTCTGAGGAGTTTAACTCAGCAGAGGAAAATTTCTCAATCTATGATAGGCCATCCATACCCACAGAGGTGCTGATCAAAAGTCCTGCTAGAACATGGTTACAGCTTAGTATAGACAGATCCAATAGTGTAAGAAATGACATTCGTGTGGTATGAGACAATGACATTTCTAGAATTAGTTTGATTGAAAATCTTGAACAAATCACCTTTTCTTTCTGGGATTTTATTACTTTATCTTCTGAAAAAGGAGTTGAACTAGATCATGCAGTCATTTTGATTGACATATTTTTACTTTGATTTTGATTGGAAATATATACATCAGCTCAATCCTATCATGGTAGTTACTTCATGTGAAACAGAAGCTTAGGTTTAGTTGGCCATGCGTTTGGGTACACAAATCCATGGGAAACACAGGAAAGGACTCCTTGGTGATAAAGCGTTGGGATTCTTTTTCTACTCTCTTTCAAAAGGCAGGAGTCTTCTCTTCAGTCTCCCCATGGCTGACTTCATTTCCTGATTCCTCAGAGTGTAGATCAAGGGGTTCAGCAGAGGGGAGATGACAGTGAAGATGATGGAGATGGCCTTATCTGTTGGGAGGGCAGTGAAGGGCCTGGCATAGACATAGATGCAGGGCACAAAGTGCAGGGTCACCACAGTGATGTGGGAGGTGCAGGTGGAGATGGCTTTCCTCCTGCCCTCCCCTACCTGGGACCTCAGCATCATCAGGATGACTGTGTAGGACACAAGCAGGAAGATAAACCACAGGGTAGTGACCAGGCCATTGTTGGAAATCATCAGGAGCTCTAGAGTGAAGGTATCAGTACAGGCGAGTTTGAGGACCTGGGGGACGTCACAGTAGAAGGTGTCAAGAACATTGGGTCCACAGAAGGGCAGCGGAAGCAAAAGGGAGATCTGCACAATGGAGTGGATGAAGCCCCCCACCCAGGAGGCCATGATGAGGGCAGTGCATCTCCCCCTACTCATAATGGTCACATAATGCAGGGGCTTGGAGATGGCCATGTAGCGATCAAAAGCCATGACAGAGAGGGAGAAAATGTCTGCCCCACCAAGGAGGTGGAAGAAGAACATCTGTGTCATGCAGCCTACGTAGGAAATGGTCTTCTTCTTTGACAGAAGGTCCACCAAGACCTTAGGAGCCGTGATGGAGGAGAAGCAGATGTCAAGGATGGCTAGGTTGCGGAGCAGCAAGTACATGGGGGTGTGAAGGCGGGACTCACAGGTCACAGTGACCAGGATAAGGAGGTTTCCCAGCAGAGTCGTCATGTATACAAAACACAGAATGATAAATAAGACCACACTCAGGTCTTGGGACTGAGTAAGTCCCAGAAATATAAATTCTTTTACTGTGGTGTCATTTCCTAACTCCATTGAATTGTGTTTCCTCTTCTTTGTACATCTTGGAAAAAATTGAGAGTGTTATTTCAGAAGGTGTTTATTCTCCCTTAGTCTAAATGCAGGTTTATAGGGTCAGGAATTAAGTCTGAAAACTCAGGAGGCATTGTTGCCGCATGGATTGCTATCTCAGGGTAACTGTGGATGTTTCCAAATGACATGACATCTTATTACACAAGCATGAATTTGATTACTTTTTCTCCTGTAAATGGCATTTATTGTAGAAAATGTTTAAGAGATCATGTTCTAAGTATATAAGTTCTAAGTAGCCAAGATAATCAAAGGTGGATGCTAGATATTGATAAATGAACTATTTGTGGCATGGGAATTAGAAAGTGGAGTTATTATTATTTTTTTAATGTGGTATAATTAAAACACTTTGGGTTTCACAGGAATTTCCCCCCCTCAGACTGGATAACCCATTTAAGTAGTTCTAACAACCCCTATCTGCAAAATGATGATCTTTGGATTAAATTCTGCAGAAGCATTTCCTCCTTTTTAATTGCAAGTTTCATTCCATGAAAAATTAGAAAGTTTTAAAAGACATAAAATTTCTTCTATTACTCATTTTTCCTTAAGGGGAACTCATTGTTTCTGCCTTTCCTTTAAATACCAACACTCCTACAAAGTGAAAAATCTTCAGCTCCCGAAATGAAAGTTTTAATCAAAACTTCCTTTCTGTTCATTGTTCAAATTTCTTAAAGATTAATTCTTTTATTGAGCGACCATTGACTTACAATAGACTGCACATATTTGAAATGTATGCTTTGATAAAGAATGACCTAGGTTAATAGCTATGGCACTATCACTATGGTTAAGAAAGGGAAAAAAATGAACATTTATGTATAGGTTGTTGTGTGGACATATGGCTCCATTTTTCTTGGGCAAATAACTAAGGGGGGAATAGCTGTAGATTTTAACATTCATTAATAAGGAAGTAAGCATTAGGCTGGGGAAGTGGCTCAGTGGTAGAGAGCTTGCCTAGCATGTGTGAGGCCCTGAGTTCCACCCCCAGCATTGGGCCAGGGAGCAAGTACAATTTTTAAAAAGGAATGGTTTGAACAGATGCTTCAACAAGAAGATACAGTCATAGAAAATTAGTACATTAAAAGATGTTCAACATGGTTTATTACTGGGGAAGTATAAATTAAAACCACATTGTAAATTGAAAATGGTATTCACCTATTAGAGCGACTAATATTAAAATGGATCTATCCAGAGTGGGTAAAGTTGTAGAGAAACTAGAATACTGGTGAGGATGTAAAATGGTAAAACCACCTTAAAAAACCATCTGGTGGTTTCTTAAAATGTTAAACATATACTTACCATAGAATTGTGTTGCTTTGGGGTTCTTGTTTTTTCATGAACCCTTGAAATGGTCCTTAATTTCTTAATTTCTTCCCAGTTTATCTCCCTTTTCGTCCCATAATCGGAAACAAACAAAAAGAGTGAAAGTCACTTTCTTCCCATTTTTTTGTATGTCTTTGTTAGTCCAAATGAAGACATTTCTTTTGACACAGTTTACTTTCCATTCAAAATGTTTTTCCTCAATATGCAACTTTGTCCAAGATCTATTTAATTACAAAGACTTAAAACCAGCTGCCGAGAGGTGTGGTTTAGAGGTGGCTGCTTGGTGAACTCTGGCACCACATGCCCATCTGTCCAAAGCCCATCTGGGCACTGGCTGGTTATGCTGTTCCACTGAGACACTTACCCCATTGACCTCAGTCTATGCACAGGTCATTTGGAGGCAGAAGCATCTTCTTCATATGATTTTTGTGGAAACTAAACGAATTAATCTACATTAAGCATTAGTACTTAGAATACTGCCTAATTCATAAGTGTGATTATATGTGTGTAAGCATGAAGAAAAACTCTGGGTTAACAACTTACATACACACATTGCTTCTTCAGAGACTCAAACATCATCAGATTATACTGTTTTACAGAAAGTAGGAGGTTTTTTCTTTCGGTGGCAATAAAAGCAGGGCAGAAGTTAGTGACCATGTATGGGGTGAGAAGACCACTTGCCTGGTGTGGCTTCCATGTGGCATCATGAAGTGGTGCAGTGCAAGGGCTGGGTAGCAAGAGCCATCTGGGTTCAAGTCCTGGCTTTGCATATGTGGGATCTGGGCAAGTGTGTGCCCTCACTGAATCTGTGCTTCCTCTGTGGAATGGAGATAATAATAGCACCCACTCCACGGGGAGGTTGTGAGGAGTTGGTGAATTGCATATGTAAAGGTTTTCATGTGCAGGCTGGATATTCCTTATGCATAGAACTGTGCTGGGTAACTTTAATGGTGGGGGCTCATGGGTAGATGGGGCATATTGAGCCAAATGGTATCTGAATGCTTCTGCAGAATTTAATCCAAAGAGCATCCTTTTGAAGATAAGGGTCCTTAGAACTACTTAAATGGGTTATCCAGTCTGGGGGGAAAATTCCTTTGAAACACAAAGTGTTTTAGTCATGCCACACTAAAAAAATCAATCCAGAGTAGCTTAAAGAGAGCAAATGGTCACCAGAAAGCACCAACTCAGTCTAGTTGTTGGAGATGCTCAGGGGAACCACCTTGGTTATAACAGTCTTCCACCAAGACTCCAGTTGTACAGCAAACTTGGGCTACATAGAAGGGTAGAAAATCAAGGAATAGATTCTATGTTTAAAAACTACCTTTGGTAATTCAAAGACAAGCTCCTTCAGCTTCTCCATCCTTCTGCTTTTAAAAATCCATCTAACTATTTAGCAAATACTGATAGAGCATGGTCGAGTTCCAGGTTATTTGAGAGAAAGGAATACAATCCAAACAGTGGGAAAGCATCACTATCTATAGTTATAGGGGAGTGACAGGGGCTGTCTCAGGACAGATGAAAAGCTGAGTGTGAGAAAAGGATTTCTCACCACGAGGCTCAGAAAATTGCACAGAGGAGGTGACACTTACATTTTGGGCATTTGGGGATGGGAAGAAAGTGCTGGACTTGGGGGAACCACTGGAAGTTGCTTATGAACAGGATGCTCGATGAGAAAGCTAATTTCTTGAGTTTCATGTGAACTTCATGTAGGTGTTAATTGTATGTCGTTCTACTTTCCTGAGAATTTGAAATACTTCATTTTTCTCTCTAGGTTAAACTTGGGATAAGAATCGTCTCTGTAGATTTCCTAGTCTGAGGAGATCCATCCGGATAGAGGGAAGAAATGCATGACAACAATCTCTTTTCTGTACAATTCAAGAAACCCCAGAGAACAAAAGCTGCTTTCCCCCCAGTTCCAGTCTGATCTCATTTCACAATGATTATCATTCTTAATATTCTTAACCTTTATTAATCTTAATGATTACACCTGGATTTCTTTTTTAAAAAATGTGTTTTCAGTTGTAGATAGACACAATACCTTTATTTTATTTATTTGTATTTATGTGGTGCTGAGGATCGAATCTGGTGCCTCACATGGGCTAGGTGAACCGCTCCACCAACTGAGCTACAACCCCAGCCCCTACCCCTGGATTTCAATAGTTCTTACTATTGTTTGCTCATCTGGTGACCAGGCACCACAGGCACATACAATCTTGTGGCACTGTCTCTTACCTATGATCTCCAGCCTTCTTTCAAGAGCTCCGACATCTTAACTAAAGTTCACTTCAAACTTGGGAAGCATTTGGTTTCAGAACGTTCTGTTAAACACCCCTCTGGAAGCCACTGATTTTAGTGGCTTCTTTTTTGCATCGATGTGACAAAGGGCAGACTCAGGGAATAGTATTGGTTCTTCAACACTGGTACCCAGTGCTCTGTCATATTTACCAATTTCTTAATCCCAGAACAAATGTGAGAATTGTCAGAGGGATTTTGGTGGATATTCTGTGCAAGAATTCTGGTTATGGTGAGGTTGTTTCAGTGGGAGTAATTAAGAAGTTACTTAGGCACGTATGCTTAGGGATATACACTCTGTCTAGACTCTACACTTTTGTAGAGGCAGCCTAAAGAGAGAATCCCCTCAGGCTCTGGCTTCAACAGGGGGAGAGGTTACCTTAAAATATGTCAACTTGTATTTCTTACAAAACCCAAATTGCACTGTTCTTGATCATCAGAGGGGCTCTTTGCCCTTGAATCTATGAAATTGACATAGACTTATAACTGGCAGGGCATTGGTTCCTGTTCTATTTCTGTATCTGAAAATTCATACAAAGAATACTGGATTTTCAGGGGCAGGAAGATTGGGGTAAGTCCCATCCCACCCCACTTTGTTTACAAGGCGTTCCCCCTCTGGGGAAGAGGGTGAAGCAGGCACAGGAAAGAGCACTATTGCTAGCTGTTTACATTAAGAAAAAGTGAGGGCTGGGGATGTGGCTCAAGCGGTACCGCGCTCGCCTGGCATGCGTGCGGCCCGGGTTCGATCCTCAGCACCACATACAAACAAAGATGTTGTGTCCGCCAATAACTAAAAAATAAATATTAAAAAATTCTCTCTCTCTCTCTCAAAAAAAAAAAAAAAAAAAAGAAGAAGTGAGCAAAAAAGATGTCCACACGGTGAGAAATGTGCTTCCATTTGATAGCTAGCTATGTTGTTTGACCATTTCTACTCTGTACAATTTTAAGGCCTTCAAAACTGAATATTGTCAAGAGTTGCTCCCTCTGCCTATCTGGAATGCTTCTGAAGCAAAGGGCAACCTGCCGACTTCTTCCTCCTTAGGCCCTAGACAGCCTCCAGGCAGAAGGGATTCTACAGGCAGAAGTCTCCCTAATGTCACCTAAAGTCCAAACCCAACTCCTTCTCTCTAGTTGCAACAGAATTAAGTTTAGTATATCCAGCTCTTTCCCAGTGAAGATCAACAAACTGAATGCTTACAGTGCTATTTCTGAGTTACTCTTTGGATTCAAGACCTCCCCAGTTGCAATTTGCAGGGATTTACTTTACATCTGCATGATTCAGTCAAGGTGTCCCTTCAAAATGACAAACCCCAGCATCCAGCCTGAATAAGTTA